GTTGTTAATGTGACATCTCTAAGCTGTTGTCACAAGAAAAACGGATGCTCTGCCATCTTTGTTGTGACATCATCATCATTACGTCTTTCTACCACAAAGCACAATGTGTAAAAAAAAACTAAATGTGAACTTAGTAGTATAAAGTCTTTAGTGTCTTCAGAGGGAGCTGTGTGATAAATGTCAGTGTCGGTTCAGTCTGAAGATACAAATGCAAACATCTCTGGGTGCCAGACGTCTGCAGCCGCTCCTCATCCCCGCTGCAGGCTCCAGGATACTAAGTACAGCCCAGCTCTGTCAGTAGTGAAATTGCATTGTGGGTGATGTAGGCGCCAGGTTTTGACATGAAAGAAGAGTGTATGTCTAGTTCGGCAGCATTAAATGTGATACTTGCTGTGTCACCTCACAGCAAGAAGGTTCCGGGTTTGAGCCCCAAACTGCCCATAGGGGTGAGTGTGAGTGTGTGTGGTTGTTTGTCTCCATGTCAGCCCCGTGACAGACTGGCGACCTGTCCAGGGTGGACCCCGCCTCTCGCCCAGTGTCAGCTGGGATTGGCTCCAACTCCCTGCAACCCTGCTCAGGAATAAACGGTATAGATAGTGGATGGAATGAGTTTCCTGTCTGTCCTGTGTATGACAATGTTACAGGCATGTAATGCATGGATGAAGAGGTCTGAAGACACAAGCACTAAAACTACTCACAACTCAGACAGCCAACAGTCGAGGCTTGACTCCTGTTCCTCCACTCTGATCTTCTCTTCAGGACATGTGCAGAGGTCAAACAACAATGCACTACATCCTGAACTTATGGTCGACACAACATAAATTGGTCTCAGTCCAAAATAACGTGATGCCAGAGCTTGGTTAAGTGTATGGGATGAGTGCAGTCATGGGAAAGAAATGTTCTCTGGGACGGGATGTGAACTCTGCTGAACACTTACAGCCATCAACCAAACCAGCCTCTGAAACTTTATTCTTCACTGAATTGTAACATCAGTCACTGTTTGGCACTAAACGTAAACATGGATCCCAGTGAGCTCTGCCTCAGTGCAGTCACCCAGTGTCCCTTCACTGCTGACACACTCCAGTGACCCACAGTGCACTTGTTACTTCAGATCTGTGTCAGAGCTACTTGCCTGTGCATCAGTCTTGTTATCGTGGCTGTTTGGTCACCCCCCACCAGTCGCCTGCCTCCCTTCCCCCTACGAAGTCACCCAGAGAGCCAGATCACAGCCAAACCAACATGTGGTTTGAGTTAAGAAACAAGCCTCCATACGTGGGGGTGTCTGTGTATCCCTTGATGTGTAGCTTATAAATGAGACTGGGAGTAAGTGGATCTAATTATGTGTGCATACATGTACACATGTTTACCAGTTTTCATGTGTGTTGTACTGTTTGTGAGTCTCCACATATTGAGAGTGTGTGGATAGCAGTTCTACAGCAGGAAGCACATTGTGTCTCTGGAGAGTCAATACAGAATAACAAAAAAGAACCTGTTGAACTTTGATGTTCTTGTTTTGAAGAATCTCAGGTCTCTACTTTCTTCTTCTTTTGTTTATTTTGCCCCTCTCTCTCAGGCTCACATCTTACAGCTGGGTGAGAGATGAAAGGTCAAACCACCACCCAGCGCCAAGCAGGGCTTTGTCAGGGCCGAGTCTCCAGAGCAGCGTCAGGTCTCCTCTGTCGGAGGAGGAAACCTCCTCCTTCCAAACCAGATCCCCTTCACTGTGTCCGATCTCACTGTGTCGTCCTCACGAAGCCATTCAGAGACCTAGAGCTGCAGCCATGGCTTTGTTCTGAGTCTGTGGATCTGTTGGTTGGACACAACGAGACGTGTGGAGACGCCACCTTTGGCTCTGGAGAGTCACAGTGGGACTTTTTCTTGGTGTCTGACATTCTGGGGACAAACTGATCAATCAGATCATCAGGATGATGATCAGCTGATTGATCAGTGACCGTCCTGATTTTTAAAATTTCGTCAGGTTTTCAGGAGTCTTCTTCGAGGCTGAAACTGAAAGATGAACTACCCTAGTGCAGTTTCCCTGCTAGCCGACCGTGCAGCAGTCAGGTGGAGCTTTTGGCTTTCGTCCGAGTTTATTTGTGCAGCATCTCAGGAAGCCGAGCAGGAGGGAGAAACGAACTGGCTTGTTCCAGATACTTTCTCCTCGTTTGGTTGTTTAATTCACTTCGCACTGCGTCATAACGTCAGTTTTTTTCCCGTCCCATTCCAGGTTAGCTCAGTTTACCTCCTCACACAAAAGTCCCTCCAAAAAGCCACTTGGATTTGTGAGCCCTGCGATTCGTATCTTGCTGCTCGTGAAATCGTTTTCTGATTTAACAGAGCTTTGCTTGTTTAATGTGAATTGAAGCAGACTAAACACTAACAGCGCTCGAATAACTTTAATCGCAGTGAAAATGAGCAATAGTGCTGTCAGCATCATGAAGAGTGATGATAAAGTCAATCAGTGTGGATAACATCAGCAGCTGGAAGGAATAAAAACCATATAAATCATACCTCAGAGGGTTAGTCAGCACTTATGAAAACTGGCAGCCTCCATCAGTGTCGCTCCTCGGTGCATCTCCCAGGGTTTTCAGGCCTTTGGCTTCTTTCACCAAGGAATTTGTTGGTCTTTTCTGTTTGTTTGTTTGTCTGATTGTTTATCAGGATATCCCAGCAACTTGGTGCCAGGTTTGGCCACTCGTCATGGACAAACTGATCAGCCTTTGGTCAGGACTGAGGGTGTTTCTGAAAGGATTTCTCCATGTTGTGAGATGGTGTGAAGTGCGGACATGAACATTTGACCTGTTTTGAAGTTGCAAGAAATCCTCTCCCATGACTGCACATCTCTGTGCGTCAGATCTGGATCCAGGTCAGATTGAAATGTTTGTGTTATTAAAGTTACTTTAGGGAATTGTGTAATTGGTGATTTCTAGTCATCCTTTAAATTTGTCTTCGATCACCATTTTTGGCTGGAATTATTGGCTCAGAAATCTGAGTCAGTGTGCAACTTACGTTTGAGGGGGTTTTACAAACCAGCCCAAAACAGTGATGCACAGTAGTACGCTGTCGTGTTTACCACGGATGCATACGTCCTATTTGCCGATCTGTACTGCTGATTCAGGCTGACTACACTGTCATGGCAGACTCAACCTACTGCCAGACAGCAGTGTCCACACTGCACCGCTCTGCAGACCAGTGTGTTACACTCACTGGAAACCTGTTATGTCCAGTGACAAGGCTTTTTAAATTCTTCATTTCTGTAACATCTGTGCATTACAGCTGGGAAAAGTAAAATGGTCCCCGGACGGGCAAATGGCTACAATGCTGTGCACCATACAGACAGCAGGCTGTGTGCACAATGTCATTTTAACACTATTTCATCTGTTTACACTTCCAAGTGCTCACACATTCAAATCACCGGGAGCAGCTAGGGGTTCAGTGTCTTGCTCAAGGACACTTCGACATGTGGACTGGAGAAGCCGGGAATCAAACCGTCAACTTTCTGGTTAGGAAACTACCTGCTCTATCTCCTGAGCCACAGGTCCGCTCCTTTATTTCCCCTCTTCCCTGTCCACCTCTCCACAAGCCACTTACCTAATAAATAAAATTAAGAAAATAAAGAAAGAAAGGCAATCCCCCCCAAAAACTTTATGTTAAAGTTTAGAAGTGGATTCAAAAGCAAACATTAGTTGCAGGTCTGTGACACTACACGAACTCCAGCCTCCTACATCTGCACTGGATCTTAGCATCAGGTGCACAATCGTCTAACACGAGTGTGATTCCAGTGATGCTAGTTTGAGTTTGACCAAAATATTATGAGATTTATTGATGTTAAAAATGATCTATGTACCTCCATAACCTGATGTAAACAGCCTCACTCCACAGCAAACACACTGTCACACCATCTGTGATCTTATGAAGCTGTGCACTAATTTTATGGATTGGTTTTATTAATGTTCGTCCTCATGGAGCTCCCAGCAGCCACTCGACATGTGAGACAACTCGCATCTATGACTGTAATAACTCATCTGTAATAGCACATAAAACGTGGAGTAAATGGATCATCCTGTCAGCACACTGAGGATTTGTATATCTATTTATATCATTGGATTAATTGCCCTGATAACTTCCCTGATATGTTGAGGTGATTCTTCAGTTGGGCATAGTCTTCACTGTTGTGTGTTTTTGTGTCAGAGAATCAGCTGTGTTCCTGTGCAGGACAACCACTCCACTTTCCCCCTACACATCCCAGACACCTTCCCATGGCCCGCACTCTGAACCAAAGCCAGTTTATTTAACCAAACATTCTACTTCTGTCTGAGCTTCATCAAGTCTGAATGTTTTTCTTTCTTAAAAGCAAGAATAAAGGTTTGTGTTGTGATCAAGTTCAGTAGAGAGATCCACAGCAGCTGAGATGTGATCTGGACATAGGGCCTCAGCTCCTTCTCCCTGTGATTCATCAGGCAGCTTTGTTGCTAACTGGCCGTCCCACTGGGACCAGTCTGTTTGTTGGTGCAGCGGTATATTTATCGACTCCCTGTGCTTCTCAGTGGTACTCATATCCTGGGGACGTGCAGTCTGAGGGACGAACAGATGGATGGATGATTTATTTGTAAGGGGTGGAAGGTCGCAGCATAGCGGGCCGAGTTGGCATTGGCTGATATTCCCAGAGATGGAGAGCCCTGCATCTTTATATACCAGACCTCCTGACAGGCTCATTCTATGTTTGATTTGGTGAAGTTGATGCACACAGTGGGTGGTTCTAGAGCTCAACATGTAGTGTTTCAGTGCTGAGCATCTGGAAAGACTCAGCACAAGTCACATTAAAGCGTTGAGTGTGATTCAGATTTACAGTACACCGTGGCGAGAATGAAATGAGAGTGAAAGTCCCACGTCTGTCGTTTCCCGTCTGTCTTGTTTCTTTCTTTCCTTGCAGACTGTTTAACTTTTAACTCCTCATTTTGCCTAAAAACTTCTATTGCATTTATCTTTTTTGTCTGCAGTTGGAGAACTTCATCCAGAGGAGCGTGAGGCCCGACATCGCTAACATACCGTCACATGTTGTTCACAACCAGACAGCCACCATGCTGGAGATTGGGACGAACCTCCTGACACACACGGCGGAGCAGACACGCAAACTCAATGTGGTCGAAGCCAAGGTAACAAGGTACCAGTGTGTGGATCTTGTCACTTGAAGGCACATTTCCTGGGTTTAATGCTATGTCTTGTACCAGGTGCTGAACCACACATCTCGCATAGAGATTCAACTTCTGGAGAATTCTCTGTCCACCAATAAGCTGGAGAAGGAGCTGTTACTGCAGACCTCAGAGATCAGTCGGCTGCAAGACAAGAACAGGTAGCGGAACTGTAGTCTCTGCCTCAGTTTGAACTCTGACACCCAGGAAGTGTCTACAGAGCCAGCCTGGTGGTAGGATGTCGGATGACTTCCTCCTGCTTACAGTGAAGCAGAGTGGTGACCTTTAAGAGCAGCTCTCAGCTGCTCACATCATAACCACATGTATCATTATAGAGGACAAACTGATTAGATACTTTCAGGGATGTGGTAGTCTGCAATGCATCTGACCTCAGTGGGATTTACCTGGTTAAATAAATGAATGAAAAGTGAAGTTCTGTGAAAAAACTAACTACAACAATATAATAGGAGTTTATTTATATAAAACAAGGATGAAAGGATCATAATCCTGATATGAAATTAAAAATCTTGTTATAAGAAAGAGAACTAAAGCACAACAACGAGGGTTTGCCCCCTTTTTCTGCTCACTTTGGTTAAATGCCCCCAGTGTGCAATATTCTTTATCTCTGTAAAAGAAAAGAAAACCAAGCTGGAAAATGTGCCGTCAGAACAGGAGATCATTTACCAAGGAGAATTAAATGCCTTGACTAGTGCACCCCTGAGGAATGCAAGAAAAACGATGACATATTGTTCACGGAGGCATTGCGGTGGTTTGGGGGTTGAGGTGTCGACCACATCCACAGTCTGGCTGTTGACGTGCTGCATGTCATTTCCCATCACTCTCACCTCATTTCCTCTTATCTCGCTACTGTCAGGAGCTCAAATGGAGACATTAAAAGCCCGAACACATATTTAATTAAAAACAAAAACGGTGTTCATCATGACACTGATACACTATGTTCCTCCTCTGTCTCTGAGAGCAGTCTGGAGCTCGCTACAAGTCAAAACCGGTCAAAACTAATTTGACAAATAGCTTCTACCGTTAAAAATCCCCCGACACACAGTCCGCTTCCAGTGTTATCACCCCATTCAATGGACAATGGAGCCTACTCCACCTCCTAGTTGGCTCAGTAGGCCATTATCATGCACTGGACCTTTGTCATCTTGGTCTAGGCACAAAAACTACTTGGCTAGGTTTCGAAAAAGCTCGTGGTTTGGGTTAAAATAACGATTACTAACATAACAACACTGACTATCAGTATGAAACAGGGAACAAACAGCTGTGTCCTGTGTGACAGTCCACCTCCCACCCTGACCGCCTCCTTACAGTACGTGGACTTTGTTGCTCTTTACACAACTGTTGCTCGTGTCCTTGTCAAAGAGATGCACCTACTGGTTTGTTCTTTTTATGATAACAACTGATAATGACCATTTAATGGGGGGATAATGTTTTAAACTGCTGACCAGAGCTGCTACTGCTCACGCTATGCCCTCCGTGTACATTTTATATCAAACTGTGGTTGGCTTTTAAACTAGTTGTAATATCACTAAATCCTGTTCCTATACACAGAGATGTATGGTGAGAGGTGAGTGTGAAAACAATCTGCAGGTGCATCTGTACGCACAGCGAGGCTCCAACTTCCAAGTGATATAAGAAAAATTCATTTTTGAGTGAAGTGTGACTTTAAGCTTTTACTTTTAGATTTTACTTAAGCCCAAAATTTCAGCTTTATCTGTGTGATACACGTGGATCCTGGTTTTAACACAAACCTGAGTCGTGCTGGTCTCAGAAGTTTTTTGAGTGAAGTGTGACTTTAAGCTTTTACTTTTAGATTTTACTTAAGCCCAAAATTTCAGCTTTATCTGTGTGATACACGTGGATCCTGGTTTTAACACAAACTTGAGTCGTACTGGTCTCAGAAGTTACACTGGTCTTTTTACTGCAGCTATGTTCTTGCAGATCACCACAGTCAGCCTTGTTGCTAGTAGAATACTTCTGTGGTGAAAGTTGTTCTAATCCTCTGACCCAAGTATGAGTTGGCCCTGAGTGGAGGAAAAGCTTTATCAGTGAGAATATGTGAAATACAAGCAAGTCATTAGAGATGAAGGCAAGGCGTCCACAGCTGTTGCTGCGAGACTCAGCAGTGTTTAGAATCCCAGTATTTTCACTGTGAGGTGGAGCTGGATGGTGCACTGATACATGAGGAGTAATTATCAGGCTTGTCCACTGTTTACAGTAACAGATATAATACAAACAGGGAGGATCCTTTACCTAAGTAAAAGCAGAAATTCCACAGTGTAAAAATACTCCCCCTCCTTGAACCGCCACCTTATTGTGGTGGAGGGGTTTGAGTACCCGAGTGATCCTAGGAGCTATGTTGTCGGGGGCTATATGTCCCTGGTAGGGTCTCCCAAGGCAAACAGGTCCTGGGTGACAGGTCAGACTAAGAGGGGTTCAAAAGCCCTTTATGAATAGATTAAAATCAAGGACAGTGACGTCACCCGGCATGGCGCAGCCGGGGCCCCACCCTGGAGCCAGGCCCACGGTTGGGGCTCGGATGCGGGCGCCT